CAGCCGCAATCCAACTGTTATATACTTGGGATACTGTAGTTGAGTTCGGGTGAATACGGCCGTTGAGTGGGCTTGCAAACAAGTCACGGGCTCTATAATCAGCTACCTTTTCACCTATTATGACGTTTTTCAGTTCACCGTGTACGATTTCGATCGATTTACCAGACACGGTCTGATAGGGAACGTCATAATGAGGGACTTATTTGATAAAAGCGATCTCTACACTTGGACAGAATACACCATGCAGATCGTTGGCAGCCAGGTCGGCTTTCGCTTGCTCTTCACGTGACGCTTGTAAAAATACAAGTGTCTGTTTGCAGGAAAAGAATGATTTTGGAGATTTGTTACTGTATCTCTTGTATTCCCCCACAGAACAGAAGTGTACGCTTTATCTGTAGCCACGCGACTAATCTTCGACTCAAATGATCACACAGAGCATGCCCGTAAAGGGAGGCCAATTACAGCTCAGAGGTTCTACTTAGCATAGAGATCCCCCATCTGCTTCACATCAGATTCCATATGTGAAAGTGGAACAAGTCTATCGTGGTAAGCGCGTAAAATTGCGCAAGTCATCCTGCAAGAGGGCTAATTTGAACCCTGTCTACCACGAAACCTTGGAGTACGATCTACCATTGAGTCAAGTTGCGGAGACGAACATTCTAGTACAGGTCATGGATTGGGATCGGTGAGTTTTTTTGTAAAGATTCTAGTTCTGCACAAACGCTGGGCCAGGGTAAAGCAGCGGCTAGGGACATCGTAACGGATTCCAGGACTTTGGGTCGAATAACGCCACTAGGCTTCCTGACCATCCAGTTCGTTCACTGAACGCTAAACTTGCCCTAGAATTCCGAGCATACCATCTAGAGATTAGAAAAGATAGCGCAGGCGTCTTAAGGTTGAGGAGAAAGAATTTGGCGCTAGTTGATTTGTTTGGAATGAGCCGCGTCCCCAACTTCCACTGAATATCGTGGGGAGAAGTTGTATGGGTATCTTGCCAAGTCCACCGATTAATGAGAGCGCATTGTGGCTCGTCCAATTTGACTTCACTACCGTCTTCATTTGGTGTTACTTGCTAATGAACTATTCTTTCCAGAATAGGGAAGGACGATCTCCTAGGATGTTGCGTTCTTGGCAAGGATAGCCCAACGGTGGAGGGCCGGACTCAGTGGGAGAACTGCTTTCTTTCACTTGCTCAAACGGACGTGAATGGACAGGTAACAATAATCCCATCTTTCCTATGGAGCCAGAAGGTACAGTACGCATTTCAGAAGAGAAAGCCAATTGGACAGTGGCATAGCATTCTGTCTGAAGTACCCGAGCAATTCCGAAATATTCCGAAAGCAAAGAAGTAGCTCACGTCCGTTGATGGAAATTGCCAAGGCGGAACAGTCTCAATCCACCGGTCTATCCGTACCCAAGGAAACCGGTCCTCTCACGAACTGGTACAATGCTTCACTGGATCTCAGCTTATGGTTTGCTGTGAATGTGGCTCGACAACGTCGACGCTGATTTCATCGCCGACTAATTTGAGAATAATGATGAATTTTGACCATAATTATTTTGCTCACTACTTATGTTGACACGGGAAATAAATGTGTTTTACCTGCGAGAACTTGTTTCGCCTTCAAAATTTAGTACAGATATACGGTGGAACTCGCCGGTGAAACTGAAAATTCGCCCATAAGCAAGCGCAACTTGAAGAAGTGCTAGATTCCACCGCACACTGGTTGCTCAGATGGGGTCAATTTTCCTGTCTCGTCTGTGCCTTTGCGCTCTAGCCATTTGCGGTAAATCTGCTTGAGCGCCTTCGCGCTCTAGTCATTTGCGCGAAATCTGCTTGAGCATTCCATTTTGGTTTTGATGCACAACGCTAGAGGGCAGAGGTGTGGATGAGAGCGGAAAGTCTAGCTGGTCCGAGCGGTTAGAAATAGAGGCTGCAGTCCCTATAGGCTACCAGATTGGCCATTTTTAAGCATTACACTCTGCAGGAACACAACCTGGCTCGAAATAAAAACCATCACAGTTAACATATTCTAACCAATCGTACAAATGCAAACGTCCTCCATTCTGATAGGAATTAGAATCTTTGTAGTCTTATTGCGGTCTCGAAT